TAATGAATAGATGAATAAAAAAATACGATTATAAAGATATTGATAATGATTATGGTAACAATAGTGATAATGTTAATGATAATAAGGATGCCGATAATAATAACAAATAGTAATGATAATGATGCTGCTGATGCTAATAATGATAATAATGATAACAATAATGACATTAAGGCTACAATAATAATAATGATGACAATAATGATAATTATAAAAATAATAAGTGTAATGATGATAATATGAGAATAGCAATAACAGATATAATGATATTAATTATAACAATAATAACGACAATAAAATGATAATAACAATAACAATAATATGAATAACTATTATTATTCTTAGAATAATATTAAGAACAAAAATAATAGTACTGCTACTACTACTCTTACTACTGCTATCAATAATTACAATGATAAATAAACGATCATGATAATGATGATGGAATGATGAATGATAATGACAATGATGATGATGATGATGATGATGATGATGATGATGATGATGATGATGATGATGATGAATGATGATGATGATATGATGATGATGATGATGATGATGATGATGATAATAACAACAACAACAACAATAATAACTATAAGAATGATAAGAATGATAACAATGATAACAGCAACAGTGATAATTATAATGATAATGATTGGTATTGATAATCATGATAATGGTGATAGTAATGAATAGGATGATGATAATAATGATAATGATAATAATGCTAATAATAATAATAACAATAATAATAATAATGATGATAATAATAATGATAAACAAATAGTAATAATGGTAATAATAATAATAATAATAATAATAATAATAATAATAATAATAATAATAATAAACACAAAAATAATAATGATAATGAATAATGATGGATAATGATAATAATGGTAAGTATAATAAAAATAATAATGATAATAATGGTAAGTATAATAATAATAATAATGATAATAATAACAATAATAATAATGATAATATTAATAATGATAATAACGATATTGATAAAAAAATAATAGTAACAATGATAATAGTAATGATAATGATAATAATTATAATGATGATAATGAAAACAATGATTACAATATTAATGATAATTATAATAATGATAATAGCAATACTAACAATGAATAATAGCAATATAAATAATAATAGATAATAATAAAAATAATTATAATGATTATTATGATACCAAAGCAACAGCAGCAATGATGACAAAAATGGTAATTATAATAATAATGATACGACAACAATAATGATAATAATAATAATAAAAATAATTATTAAGCAATGATGATAATAATAATATCATAATAACAGCAACAATAATGATAATAATAATAAAAAATATGATAATTATGATAACAAAATAACTAATATAATAGTAATAACAATAATAAAGAAAATAATAATGATGATATAATAATAATGATGTCAATAATGAATAATGTAATGATAACAATAAAATTAATAATAATGTATAACAATGTAAAAAACAATAATAATAACAGTATAATAGATAATATAATAATAGTAAATATAATAATAATAATAATAATAATAATAATAATAATAATAATAATAATAATAATGATAACAAAATATAATAATAATAATAATAATAATAATAACAATAATAATGATGTCGATAATAGTGATAATGATAATGATAATAATAATAATGGTAATAATAATAATGGTAATAATGATGATGATAATATAATAATAATAATAATAATAATAATAATAATAATAATAATAATAATAATAATAATAATAATAATAATAATAATAATAATAATAATAACAATGATAATAATAACAATAATAATGATAATAGTAACGATAATAATGATAATATTAACAATAATAATGATAATAATAACGATACTAATGACAATGATAATATTAATAGAAAATAATAATGATGATAATGAAAATGCTAATAATAATGATGATAATAATGATAACAATAATGATAATTATAATAATGATAATGATAAGGACTATCAAATTATTAATGACACTAACAATTATGATGATGATAATAATAATAATAACAACAACAACAATAATGACAGTAAGAATAAGAATAACAATAATAATGACAATAAGAATAATAATGATGATAATAATGGTAATAATAATAATAAAATTAGTAATAACAATTATAATGATAATGAAATAGTAGAAACAATAATAATGATGATAATAAAAATAATCATAATAATAAAAGTGATAATAATTACGTGAATAATAATGATATTGATAGTAATGATAACAACAATAATAATGATAACAATGATAATAAAAATGATAATTATAATCATGATAATAATAATAATGATGATGATGATGATGATGATAATAATAATAATAATAATAATAATAATAATAATAATAATAATAATAATAATAATAATAATAATAATAATAATAATAATAATAATAATAATAATAATAATGAGTAACAAAAATAATAATGATAATGATGTTAATAATAGTAATGATAATATTAATAACAATAATAATTATGATGATAATAGTAATGACGATGATGATGAAATAATAATAATAATGATAATAATAATAATAATAATAATAATAATAATAATAATAATAATAATAATAATAATAATAATAATAATAATAATAATAATAATAATAATAATAATAATAGTAACAATAATACTCATAACAACAACAATAATAATAATAACAATGGTTATCATAATGATGTTAATAATGATAATCATATAATCATCACCATCATCATCAAAATAATAATAATAATAATAATAATAATAATAATAATAATAATAATAATAATAATAATAATAATAATAATAATAATAATAATAATAATAATAATAACAATCTTGATAATAATAACAATAATGAGAATGATGATGATAACAGCAATAGCAACAGCAACAACAATAATGATAATAATAATGATGATAATTATATTAATAACAATAATAATATAATATAATAATAATATAATAATAATAATAATAATAATAATAACAATAATAATAATGATAATAATGGAAATGATAAGGAGAGGATGATAATGGTAACAACAATAGCAATAATAATGATTATAATAATGATAATAATAATAATAATGATGATAATGAGAATAATAATAATAGAACATAATAACAATAGTCCTCACCGTCCTCACCACTATCATCATCATCACCATCGTAATAATAACAATACTCGTATCGATAATTACATTGATAACAACAGGGGCAATAAAAATAATAAAAAAATACTCTGATGATGATTATCTCTATCCCTGGTATTGTCAATCTTCCTGATTATTTCTTTCCGGAAGCCGTTAAAGAGAACCACCTCGTGGACGGGGAAGCCCCTCTCTCCCCCCGATGTCAGACGCGCCTTTCTCTGGCGCCAGCCGGACCTTCCTCTCTAGATCCCTAACGTCGGCATGGGTCCCCTCCCCCTACTCCTTCCCCTCCGCTAGCCCCTTCCCCCCCGCGCTAGCCCCCCCCAACCCCGAGGCCGGGACCCCTTCGTCACGCGCAGAGGGCCCGGGATGGTGTGAAGAGCAGGTAACAAGCAGAGGAAACCTAAGCCGTGGGCAGCCTAGTGGCGGCCTGGAAGCTGGTGTGAGAACTAATGGGAACTCGTTACAACCTGGCTTGTTCTTATTACTCCGCATTTGGCCTATGACATCTGAAAACCAGGGATGAGTGCAGGTGAGTGGGCATGTGTGATAAAGAAGGAATTATATATTTCCATGAAAAAATTCATTTTTATATACATGAGCCAGATCAGAACGCTTAATGATTATTCTATATGAACCAACGAGAATTCTAGGTGACCTTACCTATAGGTCGATTTGAACTTACATCTTTTCACATAACACATCTGATACGAATCATCGGAAATGTGAAAATTAAGGAAAGTGACGGAAGATGAGAATTCTACTTTTTATCTTGAGTGTTTATAGTTGTGAGGATAAGGATTTTAGTTTTAAGGAGTTAACGAAGTCTCTTCGTCACTAAATGCGAGGATATTTGGAAGCGTGTTTTAACGTCAACGAATAGTGTACTGTGTAGGGAATGTGGTTTCCGATATTAAAGTCTGACAATTAACCTCTAAAGTATGGGCCATTTTAAATCATCATCATCCATGCCAAAAAAAAAAAAAAAAAAAAAAAAAAAAAAAAAAAAAAAAAAAAAAACAGTTGGATTAATAAGACAAACATGAAAGTTGCCCAAGCGCTTCGGCGCCGCAGTCCGGGGAGGCCGTGACGTCCTTTGCCTTTCTTGCTACAGATAAAAAGTCAGGCTTACATCGCAATGTTATTGGCGTCAACACTCGTAATAGCAACGTTTATATTGAGCACCAGATACATGATATTTAAATGTGATATGATTTACTACCAATGTAAGCCACATGTATACATATACATAAGTATATTTGTACTGTAAGCGTCTCTATCACTTTACCCGTCTGTCTATATCTTCTACATATTGTATATTCATACTCTCTCTCTCTCTCTCTCTCTCTCTCTCTCTCTCTCTCTCTCTCTCTCTCTGTCTCTCTTCTCTCTCTCTCTCTCTCTCTCTCTCTCTCTCTCTCTCTCTCTCTCTCTCTCTCTCTCTCTCTCTCTCTCTCTCTCTCTCTCGCTCGCTCTCTCGCTCTCTCGCTGTTTTGTACGTGTAAGCAAATTCTACATAAACATATAATAGTTTCCATCTATATAAGAATACGCATAACACTATGCATGTGTTGTTTTTTCCCTCGCAAAATACACTGACAACACAAGGAAAGCAAAACATCCGACTCGAAGACGCCCTGTAATATAGGAAGGACATGCTCTCTTAGGTCTCGTCACCAATACGCTCGCGGTGTTTGTCATTTCATACTTTGTAGTTTCGCGAAGATCACTCGATGCAACACCTGGATCAGCAAAATATGTATCAAAGGTAGATGAGAGAAGAGAGAACAGTAAAAGGTGTCATCTGAAGTACATATATAGTGGCTGGATGCATGGTGTATAGGTAAACAGTATCAATGGTAGCGAGCGTGTGTTTAATGCAAGGGTAGACTTATTTACATTGAATCTCAATTCAGAGAACACGATAGGAAGCTAACTTGTGATCTTACATTGCCTGTCATGGCTTGAGTTTGTGCGAACTGAGGCCGTAGTTTTAGTCCATTGTATATGATTCTGGTTGGGATAGACATGGATGTTGGAATGCCCATTTTCAAAGAGTAATAAAGCTGTCTGAAAAAAAAAAATCAACCACAAATCAATTTTGACAGCTCTTTGAATGAAAACAAATCTTAACACTGCCAGTTACTTCATTGAACTTGTTCGCCAATTTAAGACCACAGTATAGCTGCAGTCGTGGTCTCAAGAGGAAACAGTAGCATCAACTGTGGCAAATGGTGGAAGTGGTAATATCCTGTCCTTGAAGTCCAAAGAGGAGGTGGACCGTCTTCGGGATGTGGAGTGAAGAGTGGCTTGAGAACTACAACGGGTGGGTAGGTGTCTATGGGGCGTTGTCAGGAATTGTGGAGGAGGAATGGGTTTCAGGGATAAGGTAAAGGATGGAAATTCAACTCAAATATAGGAAACGGTTGCCCGAAAGGGAGAGCAGAAGACAAAGCGGACGCTCCCGAGCTCTACTTACCGGTTTCCATGGGGAGCAATGCTGTGGGGAGAGACCATCCGCTGGCATGCGCCATCATACCAAAGATAAAAAAGAGATGGATCAGTGTCTGTTTCGAAGCCGGTATTTAGAGCCGCCACAAATGCGAGAACACGCGTCAGAATGCTGCAGTATATTTAGAATATTGAGTACATTTAGGCTGAATTAATGGATCACAACGAGCAAATATTCACGGGACAGCATTTCAAACAGTTAAGTAATACTAACTGCAGTATGGAGGATTGTGATTGTGGGACTCTGACACAGTTCTATTTATAAGTGATTATTGCATGTTAAGCAAATCTAATCTGCTTACCACATCAAACTACAATTAATTGAAACTAATGAAGATGTTCAGGGAATACAATTGTTATATCTATCAGCCATATGCTTGAAAAGAAACAAGGATCTAAACCAAAGGATACCTGAACCATCTTCAGGCAAGTTCCTTATACTGATTAGGAAAAATAAAATTAGCAATCAGGCTGTGATCGTGACAAGACTGCGGATGCTTGACCTGGCCCGGTCTGAGAGCGTGGGTGGGGGGGGGGGTCTTGGAGAGAGGGCGTGAGAGGGGCAAAGGGCACGGCTGGGGAGGATCACGGGGAGAGAACAGAAAGGGAGAAGGCAAGGAGGGAGGGCAGGGGTTGGGCTCTTCAGATCTCGGGCAATGGAGCGAGCTCGAAAAATTTATCTTTACTTGTACTTAACATCACCTGCGCGTCCAGCTGTCGAGTCAAAGGTACTATTAGAACAAGAGACAATGGAGCCAGACTGGTCACGGCTCAGAAGATGACTCGGGCACTGGAACCTTCAGGTACATGATATTTAACACCACTTTATTTAAGATTATTTTACGTCAGTGCTTACATATCCTGCTAAGGCAAAAGTGTTGTGATATATTAAAAAACAATTGCACTACTCGTTACTATACATCTCGGACACCTGTGTTATCTAATATGATACAATGATTTACATCATAATCGATAGATCACTCTTTACTTAGTCAAACAAATATTAATTAAGAAACATTTAAAATATGATTTACTTAGTATAGCAGCACATATCATACTGACTAACTCCGGCAGACCAAATAAACAGCAAGGAAAGCTCACACTCAGCTCGTCCTTCAAAGAACCCAGAGAACTTGTCCATGTCGTCGAACAGCCTCGTGATGTTGGCGAGGCGGCAGCAGAAGGCCTCGAACTTCCCGAACACATACTGCTCACTGAAGCTGAATGGGCGCTCCCCGGGCATGGCCTCCAGCTTCTCCTGCAGCGGAACGAAAGGGCAAGTTATAATTTCCGACTAGGCCTTTGCCCTTCTGATTCCGGCTAGGAACAGACGGGCAGAATCAGCTAATCTGGTTCCCCCCTTTGATGACTAACCATCTGTGTCGGCGCTGCTTTCGTGAGCTAAGGGATAAACTGGTTTAGGAACCCAACTTTATTATTAATGGCAACATTTAAGAACATAGCAGGGCAGCATTTTTTCACCTACACACTTCTCTCGTATAGATCTCCCTTGAGTTTTCATAGTCATCGAAATTTACTTTTACAATGTGCTGTATATGTTCTAAAAGTTTCCTTCTTAAGGCGCCTGTGACATCCTTGAACAATATACACGTTTTTCATATACGCTATACATAATTTGCTTTTACTCTTGAACGTATCCAAATGAATCACTGGCAGTTACTGCAGAGCATAATCCTAACTGTTGCGGGGGCGAGATCACTTCGGCCCCGGTGCCGAGCCACAGGGGACAGCAACTCGGACCCAAGACTGGGCCCTGGAGGCCAGTC